ACTAAGGCAGGTGAGTATTACGTTAGTGTTCCGTGAGGCTTGTCTGGCGATACAGTGGAGTTGGCGTGCTTAAGGAGGGTTTGACAAGACTAATCTATTTGATAGACTAACTTGTGACAATCTTGTTAAGTAAAGATACTAGTAAGAAAGTACAATTTGAGTTGACCACAACGAGAGGAAATAATGAAATCCATCCATCCTTATATCCTCATTGCTTCCTGTCCTGTCCTCCCGACATCCCATCTTGGCGGGAGGTTTGGGAGGACATTGGCTTCCCTTTATGCGGTGGCCTCCCGGAGGCCATGCCTTGGCGGGATGCCAAGTCACGTGATCGACGCCCCGCGTTGATCATTACCTTCTGACGTGGACGTCCTTAGGCCTTCAGCCATCTCGTCATTTGTCAAGGAGAGAGTCCTTCTTGTTACTTGTAACATTAGGTAGGTTAGGGTGTAGCCTGCTATTCTTATCTAAGATAATTAATCTGATACGCTATACAGCAAACAGAGATAAAAAACTTAAGTTATATAATATTAAGGAAGACGTATAACAAAGGTAGTTAAGAAAAGGCTGTACTAAGTTAATAGCACTATAGAACCTATAGAAGAGTAGACTACAGCGCTCATATGTACTAAAAAGATATAGACGAAGATTCTTTATTATATATAAATAAGTCGTTTAACGTATCGATAGCTAGTATAGAGTGATTTCAGTTTTCGTACGTGAAGTTCGCAATGTTAAGAAAAAGTAGCCCTCTCGCTGATGTGGCCCTGTCGCTAATGGAATACATTATGTAACTATAATATGTATATTAGCTTTAGTATAGCTTTTCTATAGTTATAGTTATTAAGATTTTACGCGTTATTATTATAAAGGTAGGATAGCACGGGGAGGTGACCCGCTTAGTAGAGTAGTTCACTTGGTAGTGAAACACATTATATAATAAATAAAACAAAGAAGAGAGAGGAGAGTTTTACGATATTCTTCTTAGATAGCTATGAAATACAGTAGAGGAAATTAAGTGAAATCTTCAAGATGCTACCTAGCGTTCAGATAGAACTATATACTCTATGCGAGTTATTCTAGCTTCTTTAACCCAACGGGTAACTAATAGATCCCCAAGAGTTGGCCTTCCTAGCTATCAGGTGAGAGTATCGTAATAGGTAGGTTCTTCAGCAATCAAAATGAATTGTTAGCAGGGGTTCTTACGGCACTAAGCCAGACCTTTGAACTACTACTGTAATAATTTCTCACAGTTTAAGATAGATCACGTTTGTTAAACAAAGCGTTGAAGCCAATCTTTAAGACTGTAGGAAGTGAAGAGAACCATATATATATGCTACCTGGAGAATGAACTAGAGCTATTAAACAAAGAAGAGTTCACATTTATCAAGAATAAGGTACTTTGAATAGCTATGCATTTAAAATAAATCCTAAAATCGGCAAACACACCTCCAAATGCATACCAGCTTTTTAAACTGAATGAGTCTAATATAGGGCGACAGGCGCAACATTCTTAACAGCGAAGCCAAAAAACCAACGAAACCAGACAAGGAAATGCTGCCAATTTGCCGTCCCGCTCTATCACCTCATTATACCGTTCCCATACCCCTTTATACCTTAAGCATCTCCATCATAAGTCTCATCGCAAAGTTATCATCTCCAAACTTCTTCTCCAAACGACTAACTTCATTGTCAAGCTTATTGTGAAGCTCACGGAGCACCTCAAGGGTGTACTCGAGACTCTGCGTCTTTTTCATGGTATCGAGGATCTCACGCTTAGCCTCGTTGGTAAGCTTACCCTCGACACGCCTCTTCATCAGCAGCGAGTGGAGCTGCATCTGCTCACAGGCGAGCGAGGGATCGGCCTCAAGGGCGCGGATGCAGTGGATAAGTGTGAAGGAGTACTTGCCCTCGTCAAGGTCCTCGGCGAAGCCCTTTTGCTGCGCGTACTCAGCAGACACGAGGTTCTGGTAGTCGTTGCGGATCTGGAAGAAGCTGCCGATGAGGCAGCAGAGGGGGTTGAGCTCAGAGTCGGAGATTTGGCCGTTGAGCGGTGACTCGGCGGTCATGAGGCGGGTTAGCATCCGGAAGAGGCCGCCGGTCTTCATGTCGACCATCCTGAGATACTCGCCGAAGGTTGGGCAGATGATGTTGTGGGTCCAGTAGAGGTCGTAGCTCTGGCCGACGTAGAGCTCGTTGATTTCTTCGTTGAAGATGCGGAGGCAGTTGGGGTTGCTGAGGCCGGCGGCGAGAGCGGTGGCGTGCGTGAGTTGGTAGGTTGCGCTGTTGATGGTTTGCGAGGTGCCATAGACGTTGTGAGTTGAGGGTTTGCCGCGGCGGAGGGGCGAGTTGTCCTGGAGATCGTCAAGCCTAGGGTGGGGTTAGAAGAGAGTTCATTTTGGGATGTTAGAATGGGGGGACTAACATGAGGGATGCAGTGTGGAGTATGTTGATGATCTCCTTAATCTTTTGAGTGGCTTTGGGAGGGGTCTTGAGCCACTTGTTGATTGAGTCAACGGCTTGGTCGCGGAATCCATTTGAGGGCATGGAGGTAATGTAGGCATAGGGTTGAAGAATCACCTGAGATGCATTGTTAGCTACAATCTTTGTGGAGGCGTCGATTTTCTGATAAGATGTTATAGAAAACTTACATCAGTGGTCAAGTTAGGGAGGTCTGTGCTAAGAGCTAGCGACACTACCTCGTTCAGTTGGAGTGAATCCACGCCAACTCTCGAGATGGTGGGCTTCTTGATACCGTTGGTGCCGTTCACTCTGTTAGTTTCGTTGACTCCGTTAGTTCCGTCCACGCTATGCCTTTTCCTCTTCTCGCCTTTTGTCTCGCCCTGTGTTGAACCCTTCTTCCAGATATGGTCCATGGAGCCATCGGCTGGTGGGAAGGTTGCTGGGTACTTGGCTACACCATGCTTGGCTCGCAGCATCTGGAGCTCATTCCACTTAGCCTTCAGGTTGTATCGTGGGCACTGAGCACTCCAAACAACATTACCGGAAAGAGTGTACTGCATGACATCGATGTATCGCTTGATATCGTCAGAGAGGTCAGGTCGCGTCTTGGTGTCCTTGACGATCTGGACAAATTTGGCCATCTCTTGTCGGATACGCGCCTTGAGGCGCTCTCTGCCTTCTGCTTCGTCACATCCATGCTCCTTCATGATAATGTAGACTGCGTTTTGGATGTTGGTATCATTCTTCTTTTTCTCGAAGGAGAACAGATCGTTGACGAGCGAAGCAGCAGACAGGGCCGGGGTGAGAAACTCGGTGCACAGTGCCTCCTCCTCAGGGGGGATGGTGATGGCGCATCCGAAGGTGACCAGGCCATGCCAGAGCATGTATCCGACATCGAGACTTCTGTAGGGGATGTACTCATCAAGAGTCTGGAAGTTGGTCAATTCCTCTCGCCTGGCAGAATGTTGAACTCCAGCAGCCCAGCTCTTAGCGACAACCATGGCCCTCTCAGGGTCAATTGCCATCATCTCGCGCATGATCTGAGCAGCGATGACACGCTTGCCAGAGGCACCTCGCTCGTCGATGCTGCCGGTCTTGGCTCCCTGCTCCAAGCCCTCCTCCATGTCGCTCAAGTCGGCATCCTCGATATGCTCATCGATAACATCGTCGTGGATGAAGCCAAACTCGAGAGCATAACTGGTAATCTCCATTCGCTCGGGAATGCAGTTGGGCACAGCAACAGTGATGAAACTGAACTGCGGGCCAAGGCCACCTCGGAATGGCCTCTCGAGAGGTCCAACTAAGCGGCGCCAGTCTTCCTGACACCTGAATGCACCGACATCCTCAAGATCGGCAGCATGGTGGCGCCTGAGATCTATTCCTTCGCAGAGGTTGTCCGGGTCGTAGATGTTCCTGTCGAGGAGGACGGAGTAGGGTTGGTCGTATGAAGGGGCCATTTTGTCTTTTAAACTCGAACGACTGTTATGTTACCGGCTAAGAGTTGAGGCCGGTAGGTAAAGACTGGAGAGGTGGAGGACAGGCTGTAGTAGACCAATGGATACAAGCTCAACAAGATAAGATTAATCACAATAATGAATGTGAGATCGCTTGGAAACTTCGATTCCGCTTGAGGAATGGTAGGCAACATTGGGATTGCTATTGATGGGTCACGATGATGGCTTGTGAACGGTGGTTCGATGGTGATGCGATATAAACTTTGGAGGTCAACTAGTTCTTTTAAATAGACATCCTTGTAACTGCTACAAATTGTTATGCAGCGCTTAATGTGCGAGCGTAGGTAGGCACTTGGTAGCGTGGCAGTGCATCTTACAGCGATCAGCTACCGAAAGCGTAAATTCCGACCAGCGGCAGCCCTAACAAGCCGTCACACAGAGAACCATGCCAGACAGCAGGAAAGAATTGAAATTGGAAGCCGGTGAAATCCCACTTCGCGTAGTGTGGGCCTAGACTGTGGTGGTCCTGAATGGGAAGTGGCCTAATTGAGCGAAAATCCCGATTTTGGTCAGCTTTGGGTACTTAACTACCGTATCCAAGAACACTAGCCCGCCGGTGAGACGGTGCAGTGTCAATCAGACTATTGGCATCAATGGCTTTTTTTTGCCTCGTCTACTACATCACTGCGACTTACTTATAGATCATCAAGCCCTCAGTCAACAGAATTTGTTCAACCAATCTTGTGGAAGTACTGTCCCTTATGGATAACATCGTAGTACAGCTCGTACAGCTCGTACCAGAATGTTGCTGCAGCGATCTTAGGATCGGAGAAATTGGAGATAGGAGATAGGTAAAGGCGATAGATCACCAAGCCAATAGCATAGACTGCGCTGAGTCCTGTGGTGGCGATGCCAGCGTTGAGAATGGCATGCTTGGGCAGGAGAGTGAGGTACTTTTCCAACTGTATAGAAGACATGGCGAATATGAATGGGAAGAAGAGCAGGCGAGAGACGCTCTTGTGTGGATGGTATCTATCACCACAGCCTTTCCCGATACCCCGGATCCCCGTCGTGCAAAACCCTCTACCTGGTATACCGCAAATTACACAAATTCTAAGGTCAATGCCTAGGCCCGATTGTAAGAATCAACCCCCACGAGCTGTCCATTCGCGATCCCGACTACTACGACGAGCTCTACGTCTCTGGCTCTGTCCGCCCCACCGACCGTTATGAGGGTTTCGTCAACGGTGTCGTCGACTTCGAGGGCTCCCACTTGGCCACTGTGGCCCACAAGCTTCACTGCAAGAGGGGAAAGCCTCTCGATCCTTACTTCTCCCGCGCTGGTATCAACAGGTTGGAGCACATAGTCGCAGATCTCACCGAGGAGCTCATTATCAAGCGTTTCGAGGAGTTCAAGAGTACTGGCAAGGTCGTTAGGCTCGACCACACCTTCACTGCCTACTCTGGAGATATTATCAGCGCTCTCTGCATCGACGAATGACCCCACTTCACCTCCAACCCTGACTTCACCCCCAGCTGGTTTAACCTCTTCCACAGTGGTGTCGTTACGCTTCCTCTCGTCATGGGTCTCCCTTGGCTTATCCAGTAAGGAACATCCCGCATCCGCAAAACATAAATGTGCTAATTATTATAGCCTCATCCATCTTATCCCTGAGTCCGTCTTCGCTGTTATCGACCCTGGTGCGCAAAACTGGAACACCTTCAGGATGGTACGATAAGCCCTCCCATCACAACTCAAAATATTGTAGCCATGCTAACTGTTGCAGATGTGCTATAACAGGATCAAGAGTACCAAGGATACCTCGCTTATCGGCCGCCCTACCCTCTTCCGCCACCTTGTCAACAGTGACCTCCCCGCCTCCGAGCTTTCCGATGAGCGTCTCCTCCGTGAGGCTCAGGTCCTCATTGGCTCCGGCACCATGACCGGCACTGGTACCATGTGCTTCCTCGTCTACTATGTCAAGTCCAACCCCGAGATCCACCGCCGTCTGACCGAAGAGCTCAATCCCATCATGGAGGGATACCCCCACAAGAAGCCCAGCTGGGCAGAGATCGAAAAGGCAGAGTACCTCTAAGCCGTTCTCAAGGAAGGTCTTCGGTATGTCCCTCCCCACTATGATCCGAACCACACACATAGATGATGAATCTAACGCGCTACCAATAGTCTCAGCTTCGGTACCATCCACCACCGCCCACGTGTCTCCCCCAACCAGCCCCTGCAATTCACAGAGTGGGTCACCCCTGCCGGCGTCCCCGTCGGCATATCCGCCTACTTCCAGCACACCGACCCCAAAATCTTTCCCAGCCCCTAAGAGTCAACCCTGACAGGTTGCTCAGCAACGCCACTCCCGCCATGAAGAAGAACTACATTCCTTTCTCCGAGGGTTCCCGTCACTGCCTCGGAATGAAGTAAGTAGCCTCCCCTCACACATCATAAATCGAATATTTGGACAATGAAAGTTGACAAGGATTTGTAGCCTTGCCTACTGCGAACTCAACTACATCATCGCTACCATGTTCCGTCCTGGTGCTGTCAACTTCGAGCTCTTTGGGACCACTGAGTTGGATGTTAAGCCTGTCCACAACATGGTTGTGCCTCTGCCCAGCCTTAAGTCCAAGGGCTTCAAGGTCAAGTTTAACTAGATTCGCAAGGATGGTGGAGTCTACAACGGTGTCACATAGGAAATTGCAAGGATAGGGGTCGTCTAGAAGAGTGGAAGAAATGCTATAAGCATTAGAGTGTTACACGAGATTAGGTGCTAATACCTCTCTAAGCTTAATCTAAGTCAGAGTAAGAAAAACAATATTAATAGCTCTATAAGAGTTTCTCTAGTAACATAGTAGATAGTTATACTTATACAAAATATATAAAATGTTTCATTATTAGTTATTTATATAATAAATAGACTTAAAAATTATAATTTAAATTAACTACCCATTATAAGATATAATTTTTTCTATTTGCTTATTTACGAAAAAGATTTAGAACAATTTTTACTTAACTTTCTATAGTAGTCTATTAAGTGATATAATCTTAATCTATAATAATCTTTCTTTCTATTAGAATTCTATATAGTTTTCTTACTATCTACATAATATTATATATTATAACGCGATAGTGTTACACGGGGTATGGGTCTATACTTCTCTATCCTAGTCCGCACTAAGGCAGGTGAGTATTACGTTAGTGTTCCGTGAGGCTTGTCTGGCGATACAGTGGAGTTGGCGTGCTTAAGGAGGGTTTGACAAGACTAATCTATTTGATAGACTAACTTGTGACAATCTTGTTAAGTAAAGATACTAGTAAGAAAGTACAATTTGAGTTGACCACAACGAGAGGAAATAATGAAATCCATCCATCCTTATATCCTCATTGTTTCCAGTCCTGCCATCCCTTACTTCCCTGCCATCCCTCGGATGGTTGCCCTTGGCGGGATGGCACATCACGTGACCTAGCCCCGCGATGATCATTACCTTCTGACGTGGACGTCCATAGGCCTTCAGCCATCTCGTCATTTGTCAAGGAGAGAATCCTTCTTGTTACTTGTAACAGATAGGTAAATAATCTTGGAAGACTAAAACACGACTCGTAATTCAGTAGATAGGATAATATAAGATCTAATTACTACTATAGAATTAAATAAAGAAGATCTCC